CTTTCAAACTCTAGCTTTGCACTCTGGTTTCCCAAGTTTCCAGACTTGTATAGCTTTCAATGGCATTCAATATATAAGCAAAGGTAATCTCTTAAAAAAAAGATAAAAGTAGTTGTTTGCTTCGTAGAAGGATTATGGAAGCTATAAAAGTAGTTCACAATTCCTAGCTACCTGAAACAGATCGATCTCTCACCAACGCTCTCAGGTCCCTCGCTCGCGAACACGATGGGTTAGGTAAGTTGGTTGGAAGACGATGGCCAAGAGCTCCGTCCAGAAAAGTCATGTTGGTTGGCCTGAGTTGTGGCGCCAAGAGCTCCGTCCAGAAACAGACAGACGCCCCGTGAGGCCTGCGCCCACCCTTGCACGCCGCACGAGTCCAAGGCACAGACAGACGGGTTCGCGCTGCGCACTGAGGCCGAAACGCCACCCAAAGAGGGCCAGCCTTGTTTACATGGTAAATTTTTGAACGCGCGACAGGCGCGAGGAGAAATTTCTCCGATCGTCGGGTCTCGGATCTATCTCGCTTTACGCACAATTAATTATTATTTTTTACCTAAACGCCACCCAAAGAATTGGTAATAAAGAAAGTGTGAAAAAACTGTTTGCAGAAACAAAGGCCCCAGTGTGACTGTGCAGAAAAGGGGTGGAGCGAGGCGTGATGAGCACAAACGCCGCCGCTGATCCAGCAGGCTCAGAAAATGGCGAAACAGCCGCCGTTTGCCTTTCCAGTCCATTTTAGCGTGGACGGCACCCCGGCCGGCAAATTGCACCAACGCCCCCCGGGGACTGACCTTATTCCATCTCAGCCGCTGCTTGGAGTGTCCACTGTCAGAGTCAGCTGTGGGCTGCGGACCATGGTTTTCAAGAAAATAAAAAAGTGACTTCTACCTTCCATTCTAAAATGCACAAAGCTTCCTAAGTCAGATTTCTCTGGATCAAATTCAAAGAAATACACATGGACAACATCGAGTTATGCCGTGGGCCACCGAGTGCCGTCAAGGGAGGTCAAGAGCTGCTGCGGGGATGCCGTGTCGTGTCGCGGGAGAGCGAGGGATGTTGTGAGACAACGAGTCATGACGCGTGATGACAAGTACCATTTGCGGGCTGCTACTAGCCGCTGTAGTATGATGAATGTCGTGGTGGGCTGCCACTACCATGTGTCGCCACGGAAAAATGAATGTCGATGATGAATGAAGCCCAAGCCCTCAAATTGAAAAACCTCATCACCGGTGAAGGTGACGGTGGGAGCCTCGTGCCCTGGCGAGTTGATTGATGAAGTCTAGGCTGTCAAAGTGATGCCATCGCCTGGTGTGAGATTGCCAATGCCCTTTGCCCATTTGTAAGATGCAGGATGCCGAGCGCTGCGTGGGAGGTCGGATGCCATAGCGGGTCATAGCATGTCGCTAAGCGCCACTCGCGGGAGGCCAAATGACTCTGTGGGACGCTGAGGACACTGCGACACATAGAGTGACGCCACAGATGATGTTGGTGAAGAAACTCATTTGATCCATACATATGAATATGCGTGTGATGGTCCTCTACCTCGCACACCAATTGTCATTGTTTGTTACCCCCGACTAGTAATATATGTATTACGCGTAGTAGATTAGAGGGGTAGCACACATGACACATATTTTTTTGACGGAGGAAAACCCTGCTTTTATAGAAAGTAAATGCATGACACATATTTCTATTGGTTTAGTAATGGGGGCGCCCTATGTCCAGTGTGTCATAAGTTTTTGTATTGATTGTGCACAATGTATTGGGTGCGGTTACGAGTAGATCACAATTATACATATACAGATTGAAGATCTATTTGGATGTCGATGAAGGACTCTTTATCCCTCCTCATAGTCTTCGCTTACAATAAATGGAATTAGTTTCCACACACACACACACGCACATAGCACCCACTCGAACCCTAGCCTAGGCCCCTGTCGACAGAATATCGTCGGTAGTCCTCCGAGGGGTATCCCACGAAGGTAGATTGATCGGCAGAGATGCGCGTAATCAAGAATAAGAAGGCAACAGAGATACAAGAGTTAGACAGGTTCGGACCGTCAGCACGACGTAATACCCTACTCCTATGGTCTGTTGGTCTGTATTGACTATCGTATAATATTACGTGTGTTTTGAGGGGGGTCCCTGCCCGCCTTATATAGTCTGGGGCAGAGTTACAAGTCGGTTAGATCTAAGAGATAACCGGAAAGTAATAACAAATTATAAGAATCATGGGATTGAACGTATCCTAACAGATCTCGTAGCATCTTTAGGATATCTTTCCAGTGTCTTGCGGGGCGCGCCGAGCAGCGCCGTGCTCCGCAAGGTTTTGTCTTGTGGGCTGGACCACCCCTGGGGGCGCAGCCCATGTAGTCTGTCGTGGGTATCCGGGGTCGTACCCCCATAGCCCCTCACTCCCACCTATCCCGCCGCTGCTCCACTAATCGGGGAAGCGATCTCTCCCCAAATCCTCCACCTATTTCCTCTCTTTGCCACCATTGACCCTTCTTCTCTGTTCTTGGTGCACTACAGGCCGACATCGTCACTCATCCTTGCTCCATCCCAAGATCAAGAGGTGACACCCCTACCATTGTCCCCTTGTTTTTCCATTCCTTCCCTTTGAGAACCAAGGACTATACTGAATCCAAGTCCTCAATAATTGAACAAATCCATATACAACAACAAAGCGTGATGAGAGGAACGTAACCTTGGTCGAAGTGAAAATCTCCTCAATCTGATGGTGAGTAAGTATGCCTAAGAGTTTATGGTTTTACCTATTTCTTTTATTATTTGGGTACATTACATTACCATCATAGATTATTCCACGATTCTACCACTTAAGTGAGTTACTAAATATTTATCAAAGTATTATATAAAGATGATGTTAATGATCCAACAAATCCATATGATAGATTGATGGGATCGTTATCCGGACATCCGAATCCGAGGGAAGGGTCTGAGTCTCCCTACCAGGTCTCAGAAGTCCTCGAGCCCCTCGATTTTTAGCATAGATCCATGGTCAAGAGAAAAGTATTGGTAGAAGAAGAATATTATTCCTTTTAGCTAGTATCCGGTTGTGTGCCCACTTTTGGTTGTTGCCTTACCACTTAGGTGTTTATGTTATGTTTATGTTGCTACTAGCTACCATGGAGTTTTTAACCTTTTTTTTGCCTATATCTTGGTTTTAACTTTTAACCATACGACACATACTATGATAGTTGTGACTTGGACAAAAAGGCAAGTCTTAAGTAACACAACGATAAGATGCTCTTGAACGTCTACATTCTAGCCTTCAAAATTTCCTCTTTCATTCGTCTTTTTTACTTCCCACAGTACTCTTAGCCCCGTTTGGATTTTTAGGATTGAATTTATTTTAATAATAATAATTTAGACACGGGTTAATTAAGCTAACATGGTTACATATGGAATATATTTGTATATTATTGTGGGCCACATGGAAGAGATACTTATGTGCTGCATTTGTATCGTAGGGGAGCAAGTTGAAGAGTGTATTATAAGTTGCAAAGTAGAAACATAGCATGGTAATTTGTAGAATTAATTTTCATCTCCCACCCTATGAATTTGAGATAGACCTATATGTGAACTTTGGAAAGTTGTGGAAGTCAAATTCCAAGCCAAACAGCCTAGTCTATTAAGTAGATTCCAATTCCCCCCAAATAAAAAGATCCAAACGCCCCTTAATGCCTCTCATTGTCTCATCTGGAACCCAAACTCATGGCATTTATGCATACGGGTTAGAACGTTGCGTATTTGTGCATCCAATGATGGTACAGAGTCTTGTTCCAATACACATTGGTACATATGACACCAATATAAATCTTTGAGCCACAAGCCATCCAGGTAACCAAGCAAGTGTATGTTCCACACACAGACATGTTTGCTAGTAGCTACATAGTACACATATCCAAGAGGGTTAAGTTATGTCATTGTTGAGCTACATCTGGCATGCGGTTGTTCTCCCGATAAAATTACAGCGAGAAATCCCCAAAACATATAAAGTACCGTTACCAAAATACAAAATAAAAAAGGCAATGACTTAATTACGCCTGGCCATATTTTTATCGACTCGCCCGCACACCTGACGCAAGACGCCCGCTCTCATTCACCTCCCTCCCTCCCCCCTCTCTCAAATCTCTTGCGAGCTCCTCCCCAGTGGCCTCCTCCTCGGCGGTGACGTCCTCCCCGTGCTCGCGCTCCACCTCGACCTCGTCCCCACGTGGCTCCTCCCTCTCTCCCTTCCGGTGGTGATGGCGGGTTTCGGTGGCGCCGGCGCTGGCGAGGTAAGCCGCCTCCTCCTCCTCCTCCTCCTCCTCCTGGATCTACTCCTTAGGGTTCCGACGAGCTGTCCCTCTCATCTTCCCAAACTCTGGAGGCCTTAGAAGGAAAGAGATTTGGGGGAGGAAGAGCGGCTAGGTGGTGGGGAGGCCGGCGGGTGGTTTAGGGGCCCTAGCGACGGTGGAGACGGCCGGGTAGGTCGAGGCGGGGCGCCATGGCCATGGCGGCGGTGGCAGAGCGAGGGGAAAAGGTGACGCAGCGGGTGAGCTAGGGTTTCATCAAAGCTCCGCGGCCGGTGATATCCTAGCTCATTGCAGCAGGGGCGGTGGGCGGCGGCGGGGGCGAGCCGGAGAGGGAGAAGGTGTCGGCGAAGAGAACGAAGGGCAAGGACGAGGATCTGGCGAGAGACAGAAGACCGTGCGTATCAAAAATACAAATAGGTCCAGACTACCCGGGGTTCTCTAAAAATACTCACAGCCCTGAGGCCCTCAATTGCAAATTGCGCGCCTCCTCCGCCCTTGAATCCCGACAAAAAAAAAAAAAAAACGCAAAGCAGAGCTCCCTCCCTCTTCTCTCCTCTTCTTCCCCGTCGTGGTGCGGGGCATCTCGCACCCCACCACTGTCCCCCCGCTCGTCGGTGTGCGCGCTTTCCTAGGGTTTCCGCTGCCCCCGCCGCCCACCCCGCTCTCCTCTCGTCAGTGGCGATGGCGTCGGCGTCGGCGTCGGCCCCGGTGGCAGGGGCAGGGGCCGGGGGCGGGAAGGACGACGAGCTTGCCGATCTGGTGCGGCGCCTCGTGGACGCCCTCGCGCGCTACACTGATCGTCTGCCCTTCGACCTCGATCGCCAGGTTCGCGCTCGGATCTGTGATCCCCTGCCGTCTGTTGACGCCTTTTTGACCAGTCCATGCCTCGTTGCGGGGGATTTGTGGGGCCCGGGCGCCCAAAGACGTCGCCTTATTTGGGAAAGGCTTTGTTTTTTACTACTATTGTCTAGGTAGTGTTGTGCTGTTCTCGGGTAAAATTCTAGGTTCCCAACCATCATCGATTTGGTAATGCGTTGTTTTGCTGTCGCCTATGCTTGGGCTCCACATGTACACGTTCAGGGCCGGTCCTGAGTTTTTTCGAACCTAGAACAAAACTAAAATTTTGGGCCTTTTTATATATAAACATGATAGTACTACTCACTGCTAGTATATAAACACACATATACGAGACGTTAGTAATAAGCAGTTAATTGAATGCAAAAGCAATATTCATCTGAAATAATTTGTATAGATATTAAATTACCTCAAAAATTTCTTCTAACATCCTTGATGCAAAGTCATCGACGATGGTGTCAAAAGAACAACGCAAAAGAAGGGAAAGCAAATTAGATACGTTGAAGGAGATTTCTGCCTGCCTGCCGACTTGCAGAGGCCCCGAGCCTGATGTGGCCGCCCGCTCGCCGCCCGCTGGCTAAGGACGAAGACGAGGAGTCACGCTCGGCGGAGAGGAGACGGGGAGTCGCTCGCTGCTGCGTCTGCGTTATTGGGCTGTATGCCTGTACGCATATGGCATACCTGGGGAGGATCCCATCGGCTCCATGGGCCTGGGACGCCTTCCCCTCTTGCCCTGCCCCAGGGCCGGGCCTGTACACGTTGCTGGGTATATAGCTCTTGATTTGCAGGTGTTCAATGCAAAAAAAAAATGGCCCCCTTTTGAGTTTTGATTAATGTGATCATGTTTGGCGGAAGTTTAGGTGATTAGTGTGCCCCCCTGTGATTTTGATGTGTTCTTTGGTTCCATCTTTTTTTATAGAAAACAGAACAATATGTGGAAAACAAAACAGGTGTAAGTGAATCACTTACGGAAGTGGAACGTTTCTTTAAGAAGATGCACATTTCTCGATTGTTTCATTTATATGACGTCGAGAAATGGTTTGTCTTTGTGATCTATCATGGAATTAGAATGAGAATTGTTTGCTGTCAGAATTTTCTTTCCTTGTCACTCAACCTAATGCGTTATTAAACTAGTTTTCCAAATACTTGTAGTTCCTAAGGTCAGCAGCATTTTTCTTGCAACACTTTACATCTTTGTAATGCAACAATTTGAATTGCACAACACATGCACTTGATGTGTTTGATATGGTTGGCTTGATTGACAGCATTGTAGCATAACTGTTTTAACAGTGTATAGCCAAAGAACATGCTCATATGGTTCATGGTTCCCTTGAGAATTGAAGCAGTCTACCAGAATACATTGTAAAACAAATCTAGCATCTCTCACGTCTGGGCTGATCGTTTATTGATGGCAACGTTGCTTTGTCGAACAAAAAGTCCATGCCTTATTTTTGTAGCTAATGTTTTAAAAAACGCTAGACGCTAGGCGTGCGCTAGCCTAAAGTTTAGAGTTTTGGAAGTTTAAACGAGATTAAACGTGATTAAACGTTTTTGGTTTTTTTTATTTTTGTGATTCTGAGAGCAAAATCAGTACTAATAACACAACTTGAAGTAATAACAGTGATCACAGATTAGCCCCCACTCCCAGCCTATATCAGATGATTTCCTCTTTAGGTGGTTGGCAACATCGGCGGCTTCTGGAGCCGGTGCTGCAGTACCAGCAGCAGCTGCAGCTTCGGAAGTCGACATCCTAATCCCAATCCAAGAACAAAAGTAGCATAGTAAGGACCAATAGATCAACGCATCCTAAGGACTAAGGAGCAATACACATTCAATCTTAACCCTAAAATAAATCCCCAATCCAATTCATCAGTTCAGTGATTGACATGCGTTTAATTGAGGTCAAAGTTTAATTGAGCGTTTACCCCCTAAACGCAACGTTGGGCCAAAGTTTAGCGTTTAAACGGGATTAAACGAAGTTTAATAACGTTTTTTAAAACATTGAGCTACACATAAACAAACGTACCACTGGCATGTTTATGATGTATTAATTCGAGCCCTTGTTACTAGAATTACTGAATTTCTTCATGGTCATGCTTCAGAAACTTCGTTCACTTACTACACTTGCTGCGATCTCGATCACACTTCTGTTTGCTTGGAAAATGTTGAGAGCTCCTCAAGAGCAAGCTCGGAGGCCTCGTAGGAGGGCTGCCCCATCATCTAGCAGCACCAGCACTAGATCGCGACCAGGCACTTTAACCACAACAGATGCTTGTTCATCAGCAGATTCAAGAGCACACGAAGCAGTCAACCAGCTTTTCCAGCCAGTAAATGTATTGCTTGATTTCATTTGTTAAATACTGAGATGATGTAGCTGTTTTGCTAGAACTCTTTGGTTTGATAATTGCTTGTTTCTTCTGCAGCTGACTCTTGAGCAGCTTGTCAGGCATAAGCTAAGCGAAGGACGAAGGGTACTCTGCTAGCTTCTTCCTCACAACAGTTATCTGATTTATAGAGTAGTGCTATATTGATGGATTTTTCTTGTTTTCAGTTCACATGCCGCTTGCTTGGTGTGATTTTGGAAGAAACATCTCCAGAGGAGCTTCAGGTGGGCTGTAATGATGTTGCATTGATGCCAAAACTAACTTCAATTTACACTAGTGACTAGTCAACTAATGGATTTATATCTTCTTGCAGAACCATGTCACAGTGAAGCCTTCCGTGGTGGAGGTTCTCCTAGAAATTGCAAAATTCTGTGACGTGTATTTGATGGAGCGCGTTCTTGATGATGAAAGTGAGGCAAGTGTTAAGTAGCAACACTTTTTTTCTTCTTTTGATAATGTGGAAGCACATGAATCAATAGCCCTTTGGTCTACGATTTTTCGATTTCATAGCGTTTGCATTATTCTATATGTACTACCTATTACGAAATTTAGAATTTGAATGATTTCTGCAGGGAAAGGTTTTATCGGCCCTTAGTGAAGCTGGACTTTTTGTTGGTGGTGGCTTGATAAAAGATAAGGTAGGCTGCAAGCAACAACTGATTGATATTCTAGTATTGCTTATAGCCGTCGGCTATTTGCTATGTAAATATGTAATAACATTTATTAAAATCTGCAGGTTCTCTTCTGTAGTACAGAGAACGGTCGTACATCTTTTGTTCGGCAACTCGAGCCTGATTGGCATATCGACACAAGTCCTGAAATTGTTCACCAATTAGCTGTAAGTACACAAATAGCCGCAACAATGTAGGAATGGACACTTTCCGTTCGGCTTGCTGAAACTTGGCTGAAAAAAAACTATTCTGGCTGAATTGTTGTGAAGAAAAACACTGTTCCGGCTGAAAAAACAAGCCGAACAAGCTGGTTTCTAGGTAAGCCGAACGGGGTATTGAGATAGTTATTGATTTGCTGTTTATCTATCTATTTATTTGCCTTGCAGAGGTTTATCAAATATCAACTGCACATTTCGCCGCAGCGACCTGAAAGAATAGCAACCAATGTTTTCAGCGCTCCAAGCTTGGAACAATATTTTGGAGGCCTAGACCAGAGATAAGAGGTAGAGCACATATGTTGTGTCCTAATCTATTAACGTGGAACACTTCTAAACAATAAGAGGATCAAAGATGATAACATGGACACTCCAGAAGAAATACCCTAATTTTATATTTTGTTTCTTTATCTGCAGGTCAAACTCCATCCAGCAAAGGGGCGGTGGCTTAGTGAGAACGGAGGACGTCATTGTTTTTTTCTTTTCTCTGCTTGAATGATGGAACTCGTTTTTCCTGTATCATGTGTAAAAGCCTGTGCATATACTAGTAACCCGTTGTTATGCCATATGCAGTGCCCCATAATCTATGCAAGGAGATAACATATGTAGTAGCATACTTGGTGAATCAGTTGTGTTAATGCACAAGTATAACCAAAACAGTTGTAAGTGTCGATCTGCTGCTATTGCCATTGCCTGTTGGTCCCTTGAGACTGCTGCTTACAGTAAGCAGTTTCACGAAAAGGCACATGAATAATGAGGCTAACGACTGATCGGCTGTTGCATTTTAACATGATCGCCACTATCCATTTGAACAAGAACATATCATCTTTTGCAAGTTGCAACCCAAAAAGAAACTCCCCTTGTTTGTGCACTCACATTTTCCAAGCTTTCAAAATTACCCAGTGAAATAAACTATATGAAGATTCTCCCAAATGCCACAAAATTCAAGCAGAGTTCTCCTTTCAGACCGGTCGCTCTTCTTGGCATTTCAAGCATGTACACGTGAACCCATAATCTGCAAGTTGCGCCTGCCTCTCCTTGTATGGAAGGTCTTCATCGATGTAGGAGATGGTAATCTGGAATGTTCATTGTCAGATCGGTAGGATACGTGCAACATAACATAGCCAAACTTCTCGTCTTGCTTGCATAATCGAAACGATATGAACAAATAATAGGATACCTCTTCGTCCTTGCTGATAGGCCTCAGAGCAATTATCACTGCATGGCCATCCTTATCCTGCAGTGGTATTTCAACAGCTCAGATCTGCCTTACTGACGGCAAATTGGCATGAAAAATGAGCTAGTCCGCTCAGACAAAAATGTACGCACTCACCTCGTCTCTCTTAAATGCTTTAGCATTTGGACAGCATGAGTGGTTCATGCAACTCTGCAAAGGAAAGAACGCCGTTCCTGCCAGCGAGAAATCACCAGGGACAATAATTTATACTGTTGAGCAAACATAGGCAAATAACAAGTACTGCAGAAGGAGCTGTGCATACCCTCACAAGGAACTGAATAGTCTTCACCTAAAGCATCTAGGAATGACCCTGTTACCTTCTCTGCTTCCTCCTAGATCACAGTGCAATTCAGGTATACAAGCTACGGGGTTCTTTTCAGATTAAGAATCATAGAAATTTGGGCCAACTATCAACAGACCTTCTCACTCTCTGGAAGATCATCAATGTGTATGAAATAGTCTTCAACTGGTGATGCGACAACTAAATCACTGCAACAAAGGAGAGGATAGCATTTTGAGATATTATGATTATGATGCCAAATGCAGAACAGATATTTGTGCTCATTATAGGTGCAAATAAAATAATGACATCACATGTATGTCCATCAACACTAAAAGAAATAAATAAATCCACTTACAGATTGTTCAGCTCAAACATGCCAATTATATGGCCATAGATGTCAAGCGAAAACACTAGACCATTGTCAAGGAAACTTCAAAACTGGATAAGAAAATAATTTCAAGGAAACTTATATATGCCAAACAAGTCTGTGGGCTACTGAAAAGGATACAGGGTGCACACTCAGGATCAAAGATTGCATCCTTGAGAAGCTGCAGTGACTGCAAAATAAATTAGCACGTCAGTGACTAATTAGATACATTACAACAGAATAAGGTGAATGTATTTAGATGTTATTATATAATTTATTATCCTTGCCCATACAATATATTAAATTGATACATTAACGAAAAAGATGCTCCATTGAAGTGGCCTATAATACCATCAGTAGAACGTGGACTATTAGTTTCATAATGTCCAATAAAGTGAATTATCTGCTGCATAATTACCGTAAACGCCAGATCCCTTATTTGCTGTCTAAACAATTCTTCTTCACTGGAATCAACATCTTCAGGCAATGCAACACACTCCCACCACCTGCAAGCATAAGTTCTTTTTGTCACAAGTTTGTTGTAGATAAACAGGATTTTGTCATAACTCACACAGCACATGCAGAACTAGCCTTCTGGCTGGCACATGTGAAGAATAAAGACTCAAGCCTTGCCATGAGAATGTCATTGACTATTAAAGAAAGTTTGCAGGTTATACTATTCCATTGAATTTTTACTATCGCACACAAAAAGCGAACAACAAATATCATGCTTGACAACAGCTGCATCGCGTAACACTGAGTGATGTACTAACAACTCCAGGTCGTCTGAGGATAAGTCACGCAAGCTCATTCTTGTTACCTCTTTTTGAAGCCCAACGAAAGTGGTTTCCAGGCTTCCATGAGGAGCGAAGAGCTTGATTCATGAGACCCATGCTGTCTTTTGAGTTTCCTATATCTCAACAAGGTGAAAGTGATAGCCTGACATATAAAAGCAGAAGTTTGTGCATGAGAATCAAGAAATATTAGTGGATTGCAACCTAGAATGATAGAAGACAAAAATGAAACAAAAAGTGATTCCTTTTTTTTGTTTTTGTTTTTTAGCATTCTTGACATTCATATCATTGTCTTATGATGATATGTTCTGTTCTGGTGCATTGGTCTATAGCAGGTTCACAGTTTTGACAGATATTGGTGACTGATATCAACTCTTAAGTCTGATGCCCAATTTTCTGTTTGCATTTGACCAAGACTAAACTGCACTTTTCGAATCAAATATAAAAAGAAGATATCACTTGAACAAGATTACAAAATGAAAAACAAACACGGTCAATTAGAGTGATGTTTGGATGCCTACATACTATATAGTATGCATACTTCTGTCACTTACCTTGGCAGCAACCAAAAAAATATCATTGGTTCCTGAAATAAAGAACAACTATCATCAGAAAATAGGTTCACAACTTAAATGAAAGTTGGAAACTGGACGTTGTGCCATAATGATGCAGATCATAAATATTTTGTGCTGGCTTACCATTAGCATGCCCTACAAATTTCTGAAGGGCGGATTTCCGTAATGGTTCAGTCTTGGATCCAGCACACAGCAAAGAGTGATAAGAATCCCAATCGGAATCCGCACATGATTGGCTGTACAAATTGCAATATCACTTAACCAAGTTTTCTTCTCAAGATTACATTTATATGAATTATCCAAAAAATAACAAGAGTATGTTCTATGTTCTATAGGCACAAGTTTTTTATGAGGAAATTAGGTCTGAAGTGACTATAAATAGTGAGGAGAAACAGATATCATATGTTTTGCAGAGAGAAGTTAGTTTTCAGGCCTATGTAATCATCTGTTGTGTCACTTTGCAAATCAAAAGGAAATCACAAATTGTTAGGAACACAAACCTGCAGTAGAGTTCTCCCTCACATCCACCAGGGCAAGCAACAACTGATGGCAGACAGAACTGATCAGTTAAAGGCAACGACGTATTACCATCCATAAGTGACATCAGGACCTCTTGTGGCACAGCATTGCAATTCCCACTTGATGCACCAGAACAGCCAGTACTTGACCCAGCATCACTCACATGGCAATGTTTCTCAGTAGTGCCATCAACACGACCACCAAGGCTTTGCAAATACAATCTACGCCCAATTTGGAACTCTATAGAACCGATGAAGTGGAAGCAGTAACTACACACAACACAGTAAATCTGCAAAAAAGGCACATAAAATCAACTTAACACTTCAGAGAAACAGTACACATAAAAGCCACATGAATGATCCACTTTCAATCAAATGGGAGAACCTTGTTAAGGCTGTCCTGAGCACCGATCAACATTTGGTCCTTCAGAACAAGGTCGTCTTCAGCAAAGTCCCTATTTGCACAAACACCTGAAAGAACCGGTTTGTTGAAATTGCCAGCTTTTACCTTATGCCAATTTTACACGAGAAGAGCAGACTGGATGGCTGCCCTCTAAAGTAATTGCTCAGTAACGGATACCTTTCCCATGCTTGCCACTGTAGCTCACTCTAATGCCATCAAGCTTCTTGGACAGTATGAGTTCATCATAGTATTCCTGATGAAGAAACAAAAGGCAGCACATTCATTACCTCATATTAGCACTGGATCAAACCACCGATTTTACCACCCAATTAGCCCCCCTCTCGTAGTTTCGCATCAACGCCTAAGATATCACACCAACAACGCCATGCAAGGCCAAATATAGCACGCCAACGCCATGAAAAGCCTAAATTTGGCAATATTCGACCAGAGTAACAGCTTTGATGTCACGAGACTGTTCAGTCAGGGGATTCTCAAGCAAACAGGCTAGTCGTACAGAAGGGGCCGGAAAGAAAGCAAGTACCTGGGCGGATTGGAGAGGAGGCGTGGCGAGGAGCTGGGCGATTTGGGGCGCGAACTCCCTGTCCAGATCGCACGGGCTGACGCCAATACCACCCATGCCGTTGGTTGGGTTGCCAACCGGAGCTTCTCGCGGCGGGTTCGTCAGCCCCTGGCCGCCGCCGCTGCTTTTGCTGGCCGCTGGGGTTTGGGGGTTTGAGCTCAAGCGTACGGAGAGGCAGATTGTAGCACGCGTTCGCCACAATGAAGACGCAAATACGATTTTACGCGTTCGTCTCCAGTAACCTCCGGCTCAAGTCATTTATCTCTTCCAATGTTTAATCATGATGAGAAAGCAAAAAAAGATTCGCCTCCAGCCAATTTATAATCAAACTAAAATTATTCTTTTATTTAAAATTCATCGCATGAAAAATAGTGTAGCATGTGCAAAGTGTGATGTGTATGAAGAGGCCATGGACGGTTGGAATCTATGTTAAAACAATCAGAAGACAAAATTTTGTTGAAGTTTACGCGTTCGTCTCTTAACTTCACCAGGCTCAAGTCATTTATCTCTTCCAATGTTTAATCATGATGAGAAAGCAAAGTAAAGCCTCCAGTCAATTTGATTTAAACTAAAATATTCTAGTATGCAAAATTCATCGCATGAAAAATAGTGTAGCATGTGCAAAGTGTGTTGGGTATGGTAGAGGCCATGGACGGTTGGACGGCATGTTAAAACAATCAGAGTTCAAAGTTTTGGTGAAGTTTAAGTAGGAATTGCAAATTCTTGGGGCTTCCGTAGATGAATGATTTTTTTTGCTCAAATATATTTTTTATTTGAAAATATTATTACTTGTTAAACGAGGTTTATGAATTATGTCAATCAATTTGCACATACGTGCTGAAAGTTGAGAGATGGTTTCCTCCATTCTGCCCTACGTTTGTGCTAGAAAATTGGGATTTCTGAATTTTAGTTTTTCTTTTAGGCAACGGTTATTGCATATACTTTATACTAAAATTACAGCTTTTAGTTCATTACAGTTTCTGAAATACAATCTGCAATTTTCGGTTCAAAAAGAAAAACAACAAACAAAACCACAAACCTAACAAAATTTGATATGGGTTGGCACAAAGACAATTTAAAAATTGACAATTATTTTCTATAATTAGACAAGGACAAAAATTTGATATATTATAGCACAAGGATAAATAACAAATCACAAAAGCAATAATTTACTTGTACTAATTGTAGTACAAGAGTGTTGTCTAAAATCATCTTAAAATTCAAGCATCTAAAATATAGGAAAAGTGTAGAAAATTCTATGGCTTACTTGTGGGCTCCATTTAATTGTTTGACTGTAATTACTGGGTTTCGGTATTTTCGCCACGAAGGGTAAAGAAAACGGAATACCAAACTGTGGTGATTGTGAACGGTAAAAACCAAAACAAGGTATATGATGAATTCCTCCAGACAATCAAAAGAAGTTATTTTGATGAATTCGGGGGTGTTTGGTTCTTTAGTCACTCCTAAAATTCATGTCACATCGAATGTTTAGATACTAATAAAGAGTATTAAATATAGATTAATTACAAAATCAATTACATAGATGGAGACTAATTTACGAGACAATTTTTTAAGCCTAATTAATTTGTCATTAGCACATGTTACTGTAGCATCACATTGTCAAATCATGGACTAATTAGGCTTAAAAGATTCATCTCGTAAATTAGTCACAAGTTGTGTAATTAGTTTCGTAATTAGTCTATATTTAATACTCTGTCTAAATATTCGATGTGATAGAAATTTTAGGAGGCCCGATAGAAACCAAACATGCCCTTCCTCCCGACTTACAACTGTTGTCGTTGTGGACTTATGAGTGCGGTTTGGATGCTGAGGCAACCGGGGACAGGACGATTCTGATTTCAAAGGTGTTTGGCTAGGTTTGCCTAGCCCTGCATAGCAACGTTGCCTGGATTCTTTTGTGGAATTCCCCTCATATGGAGACGATATTAGATTCATGTCGATGTTTCACTACCGATAGCCTGCCACAGGGGTACCTAGGGGCAGTTTGTTCGGACTTCGGCGTATGCAGAACTCGACGGTAGACGCAAGAGACAGTTGATTTATTCTGGTTCGGGCCCTCGACCGTGATCGAGTAATAACCATACGTCCAGTCGGCGTTAGCCTTTGCATTGGATTGATTGTAAAGTGTCATCTCCAGGAACTCCACCCTCATTTATATAGTCAGGAGGCCAGAGTTCTAGTCGGTTTACGATGAGAGTTCCTAGTAGGATTACAAAATAATACTACTACTAAGATTACATGAAAAGAATCCTAGCTAGACTAAATCTTCTCCCTTCCTTGAGGGGTATCCCGTGGGTCCCGCATCGATAAGTCCCCGAGCACTTCATGGTTGAGCTCTGGAAGCCTCGTCTTGTTCCTTCAGGTCTTGCTGAGTAGGAATAAGTGTCGTTCGAGTGCTTTCTTGAGCGAAACCGTGTAGCGCTTCGTGAGATCTTCGGGTGGTGTGTACCTTTTTTTGAAGAAAAAGTACTCCCATCTAGGTGTAGCCCCCGATCCTCTTGCTATTTGGAACAAGGAGCTGGAGGGTCTTGTCTTGAAATTGCTCTGATTCTTCGTCGAAGGTCTCCCGAGCATATACCCGGGTTCTTTATAAAAAGAACTCGGATATAGCTCGGTCCGGGTTCTTTTTGTCTTGAGGCCTTGAAGTGGTCTGTCTTGAAGAAGTCTTCTTGGTGACGTGCGCTTTTTTGAAAAAAAGGTGCACTCACTGAGTGTAGCCCCTGAGCCTCTTGCTATTTGGAACAAAAAGTATGTTTTTTGAAAACTCCTGTCTTGAAGAATTCTTCTGAGTGATGTGCATTTTTTTGAAGAAAAAGTGCACTCACTGAGTGTAGCCCCCGAGCCTCTTGCTATTTGGAACAAAGAGTTGGAGGGTCTTAAATCTGAGTTGTTCAAAGAACTGAAAACCTCTCCTGTTGTAGCCCCCGAGCATATATCTGGGTTCTTTTATTCAAAAAGAACTCGGATACGGGGTCTTGGCATATTCTCTGGTAGTTTGCTGTTGTCAGATGTAGTTGTATGGTGGTGGTTGAGTGTAAATGCTGTTTGTTCACGAGTTGTATAGTGTTGGTATATTCTTCCGAATATGCTCGTTCTTGAGTACTGTTTCTTCACGTCTGAGTTCTCTTTCATTGAATTCTGTCTTTTCACTGTGTCCTTTGTTAGGTTTGTTTCGTTGGTGCTCCCGGTCCATTGCACCTCTTCTTTGGTCTATAAATACCCTGCTGGTGTGCTGTTTTGATTCATCGAGCATTTTGTTGCGTGGCTTGAAATCTCCGTAGTCATGAATATGATTGTTTCTGAAGTAGAGCAGCCCCCGGGCGTATTTTGTAGTTCTTGTATATCTTGTCGTAGCTGGAGGAAGTCTTGTGATAGGGATTAGAAGTAGACTAATCTCGTAGCGGCATTGTACCAGGAAGTACGTGGCGGTAGTTGGAGGAAGTCTTGTGATGTGGGATACGTTCCTTCATCCAGCAGTTCTGGGTTGATCCTCCTCGCCTGTCCTGTGACTGTCCGGTGCAGATCAACGCCTTATCCGACATCACATCGGACTTGGGTAGACAGATGCCTACAGGCCTTTCCCTGGTCCATGTTGTCCCACCGTACGCAAGAGACAGTCGATTTATCCTAGTTCGGGCCCTCGACCGTGATCGAGTAATAGCCCTACGTCCAGTCGACGTTAGCCTTTACGTTGGATTGATTGTAACATGTTGTCTCTCTCCTGCTATCCCGATCTAAGGAGCCCTGCCTCCTTTATATAGTCAGAAGGCCAGAGTCCTACTCGGTTTATAATATAGAGTCCTAGTAGGATTACAGGGTAATATTACTACTCTACAACAAAAATACCCAGCCTCGATCACTCCAAATCGGAGACCTAGTACTAAGAAGAATACAAAAAACTGACGAACGCCATAAACTACTCAGTCCATGGGAAGGTCCTTTTATTGTCACAAAAGTCACCGGACCAGGCACGTACAAGTTGATAACTGAAGATGGAAAAGAAGTCAACAATACATGGCACATCCGCCAACTAAGAAGATTCTACGCATGAAAACAACTCAAGGAAAAATATATATATACAAGCCACAAGAGATCAACGTTCATGATCAATAAATATGGTGTTCCTCGACAACATATGTCTTATTATGGCTTTCCCCCAGTTATTTTCACTAAGCATATCAACGTTCATGATCAATAAACATGCATTGCATCTGACACCCTAAAGGAAATCACACCATCGAAAATTGCTACACCTTCAATGATCAATACACAAGAAAAGATAGTAAGGAGAACACTAAAGAAGACAATCAGAAAAAAGATGAAGACAACCACGAAGACAAGGGATTCCAAAAATCCAGGGGGACAGTAGCAGTGATCTTCGCTGGGGCCCCAGATTTCAGAAGCAAACATCAAGAAAAGCTAGCTCTACGAACCATCATGGCAACAGAACCGGCTACTCCAAGATATCTCAATTGGTCACAGTATCCAATCCAGTTTTCAAGAGAAGACCAATGAACTAGCGTAGGAAACGCAGGCCATTACCCACTAGTTCTAGATCCAACTATCGCCGGTATGACTGTCACAAAAGTACTAATCGATAGGGGAGCCGGACTCAACATCATTTTTTCAGAAACGCTATGGAAGATGGGACTACAACTCGCCGGGATGCGTCGGTTTTCACACTGTCGGAGTTGTTGATAACTTTAGTAGAGGCTTTAAGGTCGTAGATCGAGTCTCCTTCTTGGTAGGGTAGAATTGTTGTTGTCGTCGTGCCGACTAGTCGGGTACCGCTATCCTCAGGAACATAACCTGGCCAGTGGACGATGCAGTCTTGAGATGTTATAGTTAGTACGAGACCTTCCTAAGCTCCTTTCAGTGGCATTCTAAACATCGGATCGAGGGATCCTTCGGGCCGTGCCTGATAAGATTTTCCCATGTTGTGGAGTTCAAACGAAAAAGGATCCGACTTCTTGAAAGGACTCTGAGTGTACTCCGAGTTGTATTCTTGATAGGCCGAGGCCGCACTTGGAGCCCCGTCGGAAAAGAACTCGGACTACTCTCAAGAGAACTCTGAATGTTTTCCGAGTTGAATCCTTGATAGGCCGAGGCCGCGTTTTGGAACCCTGTCGGAAAAGAACTTGGTTTCTCGAAAGAACTCGAGTAAGACTCCATCTCGGATGCGGAGCCTGAGTTTGAGTCGGATGCGCAAAGCCGCAAAATCTGAGTTGGATCGGACATCACGAGCTGCGCGAATCTTCCGGCAAGTTGATCTGTGGTAGTCGCCGAAATAGAAAGGTCTTCATGGTGATCCGAATCTTCGAGGAGACGGCCTTGGAGCTTGCCATTGTCGCCTGTCTCGCAGATCCATGAACCGAAGATGAAGGTTGATCCCGTCGAGAAGATCATGTTGTCGAGGTATCCATCGAGCTCTCGGATGCAAATTCGCCAAAAGCCCCTACCTGGCGCGCTAGCTGTCGATGTTTCACCACCGATAGCCTGCCACGGGGGTACCGAGGCAGTTTGTTCGGGCTTCGGCGTATGCAGAACTCGACGGTAAACGCAAGAGACAGTCAATTTATCCTGGTTCGGGCCCTCGACCGTGATCGAGTAATAGCCCTACGTCCAGTCGGCGTTAGCCTTTGCGTTGGATTGATTGTAAAGTGTCCTCTCCAGAAACTCCGCCCTCCTTTATATAGTCAAGAGGCTAGAGTCCTAGTCGGTTTACAATGAGAGTTCCTAGTAGGATTACATACTACTACTACTACTAAGATTATATGGAAAGAATTCTAGTTAAACTAGATCTTCTCCTTCCTTGAGGGGTATCCCGTGGGTCCCGTATCGACAATTCCTAGTGACAATATTTATTTCCAGTAGAATTTATCATATACTAAGGGCTGGTTTGATTTCAACCCAAGCAAAATTGCTTAACTCAGGCATGAATCTCATACCTCCAATTTTGTATGCTTGGGGCAAAGATTCCTTCCTAGGCTAGTCCCTAAGGCACTTAGCCATATCCCTTCATTCGTTTCCACCCTGATGATATACATGCAATACTCAAGGTTACAAAAAGCTATAGGCGCTAAGCGAGAAGGGACCCTCCACTTAGAGCTTAAATATTTTCTACATTATTAAGGCTTATAGTAGTAGAATTTTGAAAATATACCTACGAAGCAATCAACATAGGCACGGCCACCACGTAAAATGAAGCAATTTAGGCAAACCTAGTGCCCTTAGCTCTACTCATGGGCCTCTCCATCCAATAAAATTTTTCCATAAAAAAATATATAAGATGGGACGGGCCTAGTCCTGTGTGTGGTTACAGAGATATGTTGATTCTAGTGTTTTTTTTTACTTGACCTAGTAACGGTACTAATCTTTTCTAACACTATCATCATAAACCAACACATTGCTTCTTTAGTTTGCATTCCATTGTTGTGACGCACAAACAGTTTCGCTAGTCAATGTTTCGAATAGCAGTTCATGGTTGGAAGTTGGAGGAACAACTGTAGATTATATAATAATAGCTCCCAAATGTTGTTTGGGCATTCACAATGCAGCAACCTCTGAATAATGCTACTGAAGATGGTAGAGGTTAGCGGGGGGATGCAACCTATATACATACAACTTGATAAAAGGATAACTCTGACAACTACCTCCAATAATTAGATGGATCGCAGTCACGGTACGAGTATACTAATGCATAAAGTGAAGTACAGACACAATAACTTGTCAGTTGATGTCTGTTTGAACAAACCTAGCTCTGTCGTGCTCGCTCATGAACAATTAATCTCTTACTATACTAGTATATAACAGCAAAGGACTCATCAATCAAAGTGTCAAAGCACTAACTAGCATAATCATGCCATTCTGTTGGCGGCGATGCAAATGGGACACATGATACGGGCAGCCTGTTTGTCGTCATCCACGATCCAGTTCAACCACCCTACGGGGAGCTCCATTTATTTGCAGGCCAGCTTCACCATTCGTAACTGCAAGCAGCATCTCTCCAACTCCCCTGCAGCTAGCTAGCTCCCAGCGCCTCTTCCATAGGTCCTGCGAGAATGTCTGCGCTGCTGGTGAAGGCTTTGGCCGCCCTCGTGGCGATGGCCGCCGTGGCCGAGCTCGCCGCCGCCAAGAACCACACGATCCAGTGGTCCGTGAGCGCGAACTACGGCGACTGGTCGTCCAGCAACGCCGTCAGCGTCGGCGACACCGTCGGTGAGCCGAGCGTGCTCCCGATCGAATCCTTCCTGTCTATACTGTATATGTACTGTATCTGACTCACTGACTGAGTTTGTACGCACGCCGCCGGACGGCCGGCCGGCTTGGCGCTGCAGTGTTCACGTACGGGCCGCCGCACACCGTCAACGAGCTGCCGTCGGAGGCGGACTACAAGGCGTGCAGCTTTGACAACTCGGTGTCGTCGGACCAGAGCGGCAACACGGCCGTCACGTTCGACAAGGCCGGCACCAGGTACTTCGCGTGCGCCGCGGCGTCACACTGCAGCCAGGGACAGAAGGTGGCCATCACGGCCGCCGCACCGGGCGATTCCCCGGCGCCGAAGCCCAAGGAGAACTCGGCGGCGGCGGCGACGATGGCCGGGCTCGCGGTGAAGCTGGCGCTTGGCCTTGGCGTCGGAGGCGCCGTGCTTGCTGCCTTCTGAGCGCGCCTGGTTCTCGCTGGTCCGTGGTTCAATTCAACTCGTGCTGCTGTGTCTTGTGTCTCCAGTTAGCTAACTCTTTGATATGCTGTCGTTGCTGTGTGCGCGTCTGGTGCTATCGTTGTGTTGTGATGCAATTCATGAGACTGAAATTTCACTGGAAAGCAAATGTCCTGAATGTGTATTGTGTAGTTCTTGCAAGTTCGCTGCTCTTACCATGGCGCTCTGGAATACCACACCATGCGTCCATGCCACAAGTCCAAAACAACACGACCAGGCCAAGTGGCCAACCATGCATCCTTTTTACTCTGGCCAAGGATTGCACCAGAGTTCCTTTAAGGATACCATAGTTCTGACAAAGTTCATGCAGAGAAGACAAAATAAGCCTAATAACCTGAGTACCTGTGAAGAGTTCCATTACTAGAACAACCAAAGCTACTATGGAATAGCACCATTGGCCTGCCACAACATCCACGGCCGTGCAATCAAGCAGAACACACATTAGCTCTGCAACATTGCACACAGCACAGGCCACAGCAACAACCAATTAACGCACTGGCAGCATCTACAAGACTAAAACTGCAAAAATGACGGCATGGTGGCAGTGAGGCAAGTAGCCAGAGATCTCCATCTTAGGATTGCCTCGTCACCCATAGAGAAACTTGACATCTTCTTTAGTGAGCTTTCTGCTAAATATGTCCCCTTCATAAACACATTTTACATTGGTTCTCTTCGTCTCCTGACAAAATATACGCACACATTTTCAACGAGAAACTTAAAGGAGAGGGGGTTAGAAAGAGAAGTTTGTAATGCAAGTGTTGTTATTATTAACTAAATTGACACTGTTATGAACAATGAGGAAAGAAATTAAAGTAGGACACTGGTTTGCATATATTCAAATTTCATTTTTTGTGATTGTAAATTACAAGTGAACCTGAACATTTTGCCTTTACTCTTTTAGATCCTAGTAAAATGTGTTACATTCACAAAAACAGTAACTTGCATGCCCATTGTGCAGAAGAATAGCCCATGACTTTAGAAATAAAATTGTCGGGAATAGTAAGGTACTACATACCTGCCATTTTAGAACGAATTCTTCAATCGTGCCTTTAACAACTAAACGGTACACAGTTATCGGACGGGTTTGACCAATTCTATGAGCTCTGCCAATTGCTTGATCCTCCATAAAAGGGTTCCACCAAGGATCAGTGATGATGACATGTGAAGCAGCAAATAGGCTGAGGCCAACACCAGCGGCTTTCAGAGACACAAGCAATACTGTCACCTGAAGAACAAAAAATGGTTCTATGTATTAGCTGGTGAAATGTTAAAGTCTGGGTTTGTGTTAAAGACTTTCAAACAGTTCAAATTCCTGCTACAATAGAGCAAAGGAGTAAGGACCTCTGGGTTTCTGTTAAAGTCTTTCACTGCTTCGTCTCTGGCTTTCCGATTCATCTTCCCATCAAGCCTCCTGAATTGTATACCATTGCTGTTCAATAAAGGCTGCAGCAAGTCCAGCATCGTGGTGAACTGGGAGAATACTAAAACCTTCTCAGGAGCTGATTCAATTGTACTTGATTCAATATTACTATCGCTCTCAGTAAAGGTGTGCTTGTTCACAATTGAGTTAAGTATATCGATTATTGCTTTCATCTTCGAGGAGACATAACTTCTCTCGAATATTGTAGAACATTGTTCATAATCAATTCGACTTTTCACAAGACTAGGATGGTCACAAGCAAGATGATGTTCCTTCAACAGAGGATTTGATTAAAGGTATAGTCCTGTAGTGTGAACAGCAAATCAGCATCAGATATTTTGTTCCCAAAGTTCTGGAACAACCATAACTTTTATTGAAAGTGACATGAACACTGGACAGGACTTGTTAATTAAAGGTATTGTGATTTTTGAATCAAAAGTGGTATGAATAGTAAGGGTAAATCTAAGAAAGGATATGGACTTGATTTAATTAGACACTTTTATCCAAACAAATATCTCCACATATAACGGGTGTTTTGGAGACCATATCTTACTGAGTACGGGCATCTATTGACACATTATAATGAGTTGAAGGAGTAAAAACCAGAACTTACCATCAATATTTCTTTATAGCATTGGACAAGCCACGAGCAGAATTCTTGCTCTGCTGGGGTGAAAATTATTTCTCTCGTCTGAATTGTCTTTGGTGGCAGTTTAATGATTGGTTCCCCATCGATGTGTGTGTCCAAATGCAAATTTTTTTAAAGTTCATCATCGATAGAACAGCACAATGGATGAAGAACCGAGGTAAAACCACAGGTATTGAAAGAGCATATTACAAAGATGATAGAAGCAAAAAATATGAAACTTCCTTAAGAAAAATCATATAGGAAGCACTGAAAAACAGCATCCAAATAAAATCAATGCGCCTAACATCAGTTTCCACACGCAAAAAAAAAAAATCAGATTCTTTTAATTATGTATCTCCCTAATTCGTTTTTTCCAGTTTTATGATACCCTTTTTTCTTGAGGAGGTTTTGTGATATCCTTCATAGTGGTTGTAGTTAGTCCTAAAGAAATGAAAAACAATTATACTTAAAACAAGCTGAGAAGCTGGTGAAGTTAATTTGTCATCCACAGTATGCTCACTTCAGAGGCAGGTAGAATGCAAACGTATATAACCATAAAGCTAGTGTTAAGAAAAAGACACAGAACTGCAGGCGTACTACAGTTTTTTGGAAAAAAAAAATTGTTGGAGCAGTTTTTAGGTCATTTGAAAATGTTTTTAGGTTAAAACCAGGCCCAAAAACTGCACATGCAGTCAAAGCACATTATCTCACCTTCCGTGCGTTGCAGACAAACTATTCCCCACAATATTTCAAGTTTTGTTTTGCCATGACTTGCATATGTAGATTTTTTCTCCTTTAGCAAAGAGCGAAATGAAGTGTATTCAGAATATGGTCTATATTTCAAGAAGCGCAAATAACTGTAGAGATCATCAAATTTATTTTGCACAGGTGTTCCTGATAGGCACCATCTCCTTTCAGCTTCCAGTTCCCAACAAGCTTTGGAGACCAAAGAGTCGCTGTTTTTTAATTCATGAGCTTCGTCGAGAACAATTCTGAACCATCTTACCCCGGCAATCGGGTTGTTTTTATGGCCATCTGGAGCACTTGGTTTCTTCTTAGCTCGCTTTTTTCTGGAATTGAAGTGTTGCTTGACCATCTTATATGTGGTGATCACAACATCATGCTTAGTAAGCTCTTGTGAGTCCATGATCCTTGAACATCCATGATAAACAAGAACAGACAACTCGGCATCCTTTGTAATCTTCTGAGACAACTCCTTGTTCCATTGTGTCACAATGCCTTTCGGGCACACCAGAAGTGTTCCTCCTGCTAGCTTGGCCGTGGTCGAGATTCTATCCACAGCACGTGGCTTAAAATTGGTGACATGATGTGCTGATTTTTGATGAAACAATAAATCCTTGGGCTCCTTGTTGACAATAGTGGCTTCTCTATCTGAATCAATAGACATGAACTTGGACTGCTGAGCCCTCTCCTTCAGAATAAGAGCAATCACTTGTATTGTCTTTCCAAGTCCCTGTTACAACAGGCGGTAGTTAGTTAAATAGGGGGTCTGGTATATTGATCAATGGCTATAAGCTTGAAAGTCAGAAATGACCTGCTGATCTGCCAGAATTCCACCAGCACAATGTGAACTTTTCTCCCGGAAAAGCATCCAATCTAGTGCCATTTTCTTTAAGAGAGGAAATGATCATACAAATGAACAAGGTACTAGGAATAAAAAAAAAGATAAGAACGAGTAGAGTTCACTGTATAGATCCTTAAACTTCACAGGGTTCCTAAACTCAAGAAATGCACATTTAAATACCCAAGCCTGTATAAGTGGACCAACAAAGATCTTCCTCTTATTAAGGATAATTTTTATGCCTTCAGATAAATCATTACCTTTCTTAGCATGTCACAAAATGTTTGACAATTGACTTGGCTTTGAACCTGCCTTATCATACTTATTAATAAAGCTTAAGGGTCCACACAAAAAAAAAAGATTAAGGCTCTGCAAGTACATTACGACATTGGCACTATCATCAATGTGGCATTTAAGTACCAATATCTAAAAATACGGATTATGAGAATATATTATATTTAAGTGCAAAGAGTTACATATTATGAAAATATTTTTCATAACATATCTAACAATGTCAATCTTAGATTGCTGAGTTAAAAAAAAGTTTGACTTCGGACAAACCTAGATGAATTTATTTCCGATGGAAGTGTGATGTCCTTTCATTTCCTCAAAGGAAAATGGTGCTCCATGTGTTTCTTTTATACGACCTATTAGGATTTGGAGAAGTCTCTAGAAATGTACTTTAACTATCAATTTCTTTTGCAATATAATATCAATAGCTACAAAATTGATGTCTAATAACAATTTCAGTTAGTCCTCACTTTTGCTGGTGCTCCCCTAGCGGAGAAAATGAGTTCGGTGTGCGCCCTCTGGGGCACTCAGGCCTTTGGCCTTTCTGTACATAAACTCTTATTTCTATTAATTGAGAGGCAGAGCTCCTGCCATGTTTTCAAAAAAAAAAACAAAATTGATGTTTTTCGTGACCGTGCCTTGGCATGCTTTTCATTAAGAAGAAGCTGACTTTTTTAAACATAAAGAGGCACGGTAATCTCTAGATTTCCGAGGCACAAGCACCTAGATAGCACGAGATCAACTTTTTCATACACTAAGCTTGACTTTTTCATGTTCAATTTAGGCCAGTCTAAGTGGGGGTTTCATGTCCCAGGTGCAGGACATGGAACTCTCTCTACTCCCATGAAACTTTTATCATCTCTCTCTTCATCGATACAGTGCCATGTCAGCATATTTAATGTCTATGAAACCCCAATTGAGATTGTCCTTATGACGTGTGACTTTTCAAATCCTAACACGCCCTATGAAAAAAAAGGGGGCACCTGACAACTGAAACTCACCTGATAGTTGTAAAGGGGTATTGACATGACACCCTCAGGCAGATCTTGTTGCTGACATTTTCGACGGATGGACTGCACAAGGGGGGAACGACTCGGGTAAACGAAGAGCGTTATGATTCTTACATTGTCACAGAGAATGCATCTAATTCTAATGCATTACCACGAAACCGTGCGTGTGCTTCGATGGACCAGAGATTGCATTGCGTACCTCGAGGTATTCCTGGTAGACATCTCTCTCGCTATGATGAGAGAAGGCTTCTGCTTCTTTCTCTGGTTGGCTTTCTTTGACGGGGCCACCGACAAATTCAAAGCCATTAGACCTGGATGGAAACAATGGCGGCGTGACACGATGACCCAGCGTGCGAGGGCGTGAGCTCCCGGAAAGAGATAATTGCCGAGACAGCAGAACGATGTTCGAGGGCCGGCCTCCATCAGCACGGGCGTCGTCACCTGAAAGTTTAGAGCAAGGGAAAGGATGATCTTGTCAGTAACACAGTAGTTTGGGACTTTGGTGGCACTGGCAGTGGGCGGTGCCGCAGTGGCCATCGAGATGCATGCCGACATGACGAAGATGAGATGAGAGAGCTGGGAAGAAGAAGATGCCAGTATTATATACTAATGCTCCATTGATGCTCACCAGCGATGGTTGGTCGAGGTCTCTCTGGCGTGGCGGCGGCGGCGCCGGGGGCACTGGGTTCACGGCAGCCGGGCGCGGCTGGCTCCGTCTCGCCGCGGCTGGGCACGTCCGCCCGCGGTGGGCAAGGGCGCTTGAGCTCAGCAGGCAAGCGGAACCGCGCCAAGCAGCGCCTCGCCTCGGCTGCGACGTGGGGCGGCACCGGCATCTCTGGCACAGTCGCACTTAGCGGCGAATATTTGATTAGTGTGGACTGGAGTAGATCTAACAAAATTCCCTATATATCATCAAAAAGCTACACACATAACACATCCCAAAAATGCCATCGAAAAATAGCATTCCTTCGTTGATATTGGTTTTAATTTTGTTAAATTCGCGTGCCATCTCGTCACATACATCGAAAAATAGCATTGGGAAAAACCAAAAGCTTTTCATTAGCGGTGCTATTAGTTGACCCCATTTAAAATCTCAACCTAATAGTCATCAATATCAGATATGCATCTTCACTCTTGCAGATATGTTCATCTCTATCTCTATCTCTATCTCTACCACTAATAATGTATAGGTTGTGAATTTTTCTAAAGCCACACAAAAATTGTTTTACTACGGTCATAAATTATCCTACGTAAAAAGAATACACCTAAAGCCATCTATCCTTTCAGACAAAGAGACAAGTTCCACTCTGACTTATCATTTCTCTCACTCACTCAAACCCAACGCACCGGATCGCTGGAACCAAACCTTCTCACTCATCCGGTCGCTCGTCCCATCCCGCGATCACCCCACGCGCGACCCTTCCTCTCCCCCGACGCCCCGTCTCCCACATGAGCGGACTCCGCGACTCCTCTCCTCTCCCCCACGCGCGACTCGCGACTCCTCCTCTCCTCTCCCCTATGGACAAATCCTAGACGCAAAGGCGGCGGCGACGGCACGAGCCCCGGAGGCGGAGGCGGCGGCGACGGCGCGAGCCCCGGCCGCGAAGGTGGCCGCCATGTTTCACCACCGTGTGCTCGCCGCATCTCGCAACCATCGCGAGGGCGAGAACAGCCGGCGCGAGCGCGACCACCTGGACCACCTCCACAACATCCTCGCCTGCGACCACGAGGCATGTAGACTACTCTCATCAGCGTTCTGTCATCTACTGTTGTTGTCTCTTCTCTCCCGTATTAACTTTGTCCCCCAGTTGCTCCATGATTAGATCTGAAGAAGCTCTGAATGTATGTGCGCGCACACATCATGGTTATGCGTCTGGTTTTGGTAATGCGTCTTGATTTGAGTTGATCTGAAATTTGTAATGCTTGGTAGCCTGCGTCACTCATTTCTAATACTTTGTTTTGATTAATCACTGGTTTGAGTAGCTTATTTGTGAAAACATCTTAGAATGTTCTCTGAACAAGGACACTTAAAATCATGTTGTACATGTTAAGTGCAGTTTATTCTGCAACATTACAGTGAGATTCTTGGCTGCACTTCGTAATTGATGCATGTGGTTTTGTCTCCTAAGGACATTGTGGAAGTGATGGGGTTGATGGATATGTTACTATTGGTGACTTGTTACTGTTTTATACATACATAATATATGCATGGATATTAATTTTAGCCAGAGAGAAACTATGGTTTGACATGTGCTTCTTATCTGGGTACTCCACGGGTGGAGCTATTGTTTTGAAGGTAAAGCAAAGCTGCACTCACTTTAATGATTTGAATGAAATGAAATAACATGTCTTTGGTTAATTGTTGTTTTCTTGAATTTTCAGATAGTCAAGGAATGTTTGAAGCAATTAACTACGATTAGTTCAACCTCATGGTCTTGGACATGGTACTACCGCTGCCGCCTCGCCTCGCTACAGCAGCTGCTGCCTCGGGCAGTGTCGTCCCGTCCCCATCTGTGTTCGTCTCCCACATGGCGCCACACTTGTTTGGAGATATTAAAGGAAAAGTCAAGCAGTTGGGTGAAAAGTTTTCGATAATCAGAGGTCTTCTTGCTAATATTTTGATCCCTTCTTTGCACACAGCAGCAGCAACAACAACAACAACAACAAAACCTTTAAGTCCCAAACAAATTAGGATAGACTAGAGTTGAAACCCAGCAGAAGCAATCAAGGTTCAGGCACGTGAATAACTGTTTTCCAAGCACTCCTATCTAAGGCTAAGTCTTTGGGTATATTCCATCCTTTCAAGTCTCCTTTTATTGCCTCTACCCAAGTCAACTTCGGTCTTCCTCTGCCTCTCTTCACGTTACTATCATGGCTTAGGATTCCACTATGCACCGGTGCCTCTGGAGTTCTTCGTTGGACATGTCCAAACCATCTCAACCGGTGTTGGATAAGCTTTTCTTCAATTGGTACTACCCCTAATCTATCACGTATATCATCGTTCCGAACTCGGTCCCTTCTTGTATGACCGTAAATCCAACGCAACATACGTATTTCCACGACACTTATCTGTTGAACATGTCGTCTTTTCATAGGCCAACATTCTGCACCATACAACATAGCAGGTCTAATCGCCATCCTATAAAACTTGCCTTTTAGCTTCTGTGGTACCCTTTTGTCACATAGGACACCAGATGCTTGGCGCCACTTCATCTACCCTACTTTGATTCTATGGCTAACATCTTTATCAATATCTCCGTCTCTCTGTAGCATTGATCATAAATATCGAAAGGTATCCTTCCTAGGCACTATTTGACCTTCTAAACTAATATCTTTCTCCTCCCAAGTAGTAGTGCCGAAGTCAGATCTCATATACTCAGTTTTAGTTCTACTAAGTCTAAAACATTTGGACTCTAAAGTCTCCCGCCATAACTCTAGTTTCTGATTCACTCATGTTCGGCTTTCATCAACTAGCATCGTATCATCCACGAAAAGCATACACCAAGGGATGCCTCCTTGTATGTCCCTTGTGACCTCATCCATCACTAAGGCAAACAGATAAAGGCTCAAAGTTGACCCTTGATGTAGTCCTATCCTAATCGGGAAGTCATCCGTGTCTCCATCACTTGTTCGAACACTAGTCACAACATTGTTGTACATGTCCTTAATGAGCCCGATGTACTTCGTTAGGACTTTATGTTTATCCAAAGCCCACCACATAATATTCCTTGGTATTTTATTATAAGTCTTCTCCAAGTCAATAAAAACCATGTGTAGGTCCTTCTTCTTCTCCCTATACCGCTCCATAACTTGTCTTATTAAGAAAATGGCTTCCATGGTTGACCTTCCGGGCATGAAACCAAATTGGTTCATAGAGACCTACGTTATTGCTCTCAAGCGATGCTCGATAACTCTCTCCCATAGCTTTATAGTATGGCTCATCAACTTAATTCTCCGGTAATTAGTATAACTTTAAATATCCCCTTTATTCTTGTAGATCGGTACCAATATACTTCTCCTCCACTCGTCAGGCATCTTATTCAACGAAAATATAGTTGAACGGCTTGGTTAGCCATATTATAGCTATGTCCCCAAGGTATCTCCACACCTCGATTGGGATACCATCCGGTCCCATCGCCTTACCTCCTTTCATCCTTTTTAATGCCTCTCTGACCTCATATTCTTGGATTCTCCGCACAAAGCGCCTATTAGTGTCATCAAAAGAGTCATCCAACTGAAAGGTTGCATCCGTATTCTCACCATTGAACAATTTGTCAAAATACTCTTGCCATCGATGTCGGATCTCATCCTCCTTCACCAAGAGATGTTCACTTTCATCCTTAATGCACTTAACTTGTTTGAAGTCCCTTGTCTTTCTCTCACGAACCCTAGCCATCCTATAAATGTTCTTCTCTCCTTCTTTCGTACTCAAATGTTGGTAAAGATCCTCGTACGCTCTACCCTTTGCCACACTTACAGCTCATTTTGCAGTCTTTTTTGCCACCTTGTACTTCTCTATGTTGTCCACACTCTTATCATGGTACAAGCGTCTATAGCATTCTTTCTTCTCCTTAATAGTCCTTTAGACTTCATCGTTCCACCACCAAGTATCTTTAGCCTCGCCTCCACTTCCTTTGGTTACTCCACACACCTCTGAGGCCACCTTCCGAATGTTGGTTGTCATCTTCTCCCATATGTTGTTTATGTCCTCTTCTTCCTTCCAAGAGCCCTCTTTGATAACCCTTTCCCTGAATACATCTGACGTCTCCCCTTTCAGTTTCTACTTTGTTCTTTCAATCTTAGCTTGTTTATTCCCTACGGGCACGCACATAAAAACAAAAGTCTACCACCAAAAGCTTATGTTGAGAAACAATACACTCCCCTGGTATCACCTTGCAACCCAAGTATGCTCGTTTATCCTTTCTTTTTGCGAGGACAAAGTCAATCTGGCTAGAGTGTTGTCCGCTACTGAAGGTCACTAGATGAGATTCTCTCTTTCTAAAGAAAGTGTTAGGCTATCATTAGGTCAAAAGCTACCGCGAAGTCCAGAACTTCCTCCCCCTCCTGATTCCTACTACCATACCCAAAACCTCCATGAACTACCTCGAAAGTACCTACATGCCCATCATTGATTTTTTATTATGCTATGATGCAATTGTATTACTCGCTGCTGTGTAATACTACTTTTCCCATGGACTCCCTGCAACCACTGTGTTAAAACATCCATATAATTATGCCTATCCATCCTTGCAGGCGCCATTGAGCGGAAGAAATCAAAGACACTATAATTCTTTCAGCAGTGATTGCGGCCTGCACTGTCTTTTTGATTATTTACTGGCTTTCAAAATGATGGGATCTCACCTGAAAGAAACTTCCTAGATCTCCCTTCTTGCAAACATCTACTGCAGGTCTGCATTTGAGCTCAGCCCTCCTAATTCTTGGTATGCAATGACTTGTTTGCTACTGGGACTTGGGAACTAATATTTATGACAGAGGCAATGGATACTACTAAGTGAAACTATAATAAACTTTGTGTATAATTTATTTTGCTTCTTCTGCCCTTATTTTAAATCTAAATTATTTTTGAGGTGCAAAATTCTTTCTACTGTATTTCTGGAATCATTCAGGTTAAACATAGTAGTAATTTTGAGACCTGAAATCCTCTGCTGGTTGACAAGGAATTGATGATAAAGTTATCACAGTGGTTTTTCTTAAAGGTGGCACTGAGTTTACAGCCATCGTGGTTGATGTTGGAGTGATCTTGTTTTGCTTCCAACAAAAGTATGATACATAAATTGTTTTAGCCATAATGTGATAATTTGTTTGCCTGGACACTCCATGAAATCATTATCATATACCTTTCCCACATTCAGTTCGTGCTGGATATTGATTGTTAAACACTATTGACCTCATGTTTCATGGTGTAGCTCGCCAACTAAGGTAGCTCTTGGTATTCAAGTTTATGCTTGCCGTTTCAGTCTCTGTTTTATTCTCCAAGATACTGGCAGTAGTAGGAAGGTTAATCTGCAATTAGAGATGGAACATGAAAATACTGCATGTACTGGCCAAGTCTAGTTATTCTGTTGCTTGTCTCTGAGCCACCTGATAAGTCACACACATTATCCATTGATGTGCACTCACAGTATCCCTCTACAACCAACATTAATATTTCTATTTATGTGCCTAGAATTTCATATGTTAGGATGTGGTGCTTGAGAATGTTTTAACACATATTTTTATTTATGTGCCTAAAATTTCTTTTCTCATATCTGTGTATATTTCATAGAATCCAATTTTGAGTTTTTTTTGTAATTTTTGGGAAGTTAGGATCCATTTATTTGCTCGAGAGATTGGTTTTGCTTCAAATTAGCTTGTAGTCGGATTCTATTTATGTCCAGTTCTATTCTATTTTCAATTCAGAGTTCTCAATGCATGATTGCTTGCAGGGAAATCAAAGCCAGAAAGGAGCCATCATACAGAGATTCTGTAAGGTGTGGCCTTCCTATTTCTTGGTGGGCTATTGACTTATTGATATGGCGTTCTAGAAAACTAAATCCTCGGAGAACACTGCCAGATGCAAAGTAACTTTTCACATGCCATATGTTTCATTCACGAGAACACTACCCAGTGCTTGCTTTATCACCGATGGTTATCAATCATATTATTGTCATGGTTGTTAATATGGCTTGAAACAGATGATGCTAAGACTTTGTAGATTGTAATATTTGTTTAACTACTTCCTAGCGAGAGTGTTATTTCAAAAAGGAAAAATTGTCATGGCTTTGTTTCCGTTTAACTTATTCTTGTAAAAGTGAACACCAATATTTCAGTTGTCTGCTCAGCTATCAGATATGATAGGTGTAATGATCCAAAGTTGGTTTCTCAGGGGTTCTCTTGAAAGTAAAGTAAAAAAAAAACTAGCCTGTATTTCTCAGGTCATGGATATCTTTTCTCGAATGCACTGTGAAGCTTGCATGTTGCTTGCCGTGCTGAATAAGTGATCTTTGTGTCGGTTTTGAAAATCGTCTCCCATTGCAACACAAGTGCTTGTTATGCATGAGTGTTTTCTAAATTATATGGTCATATACAATTGCGTACAACTTAAACTATGTAAAAAATATCGTCATTTTAGTTGCTTTCATGTGCATCCTTGAAATAAAGTCGTGGCGTTAGCACGGGCACTATACTAGTACATATATGGTGTAACTTGGTTAGTTGTAAGGAGATATACGCCCTGTTCGTTTGGGCTTGTTTGGCTGATAAGTCATGGCTGAAAGTACTGTTGACTGATTTAGGGGTGAGAGAAAAATATTATTCGTTGGCTGAAAAGTATGGCTTATAAGTCAAACAAGCCCAAACGAGCAGGGCGATAATCAAGAGAATAGGAGGAGCGATAGAATTTCTAAGTGTCTTTCCTTCGTGACTAAGAGGCAGAGCTCTTGTCGTTCGTTTCAAAAATAAAATTTCTATGTGAACTCTGAGTTGGGCCAAATTAAGATCCAAATCCTAGTGTGCCAAATTTGGTCGCGGTTGTTTTAGGCGATCTGGCTTTATAACAAGCTATATATAAACGCTAATGTTATGATTAAGGCGTCCGTCCGGGCGTGTGCATCCGGACATGCCCCGTTCCTGGGCCTGCGCAGCGAATCGGGTCCAACAACAATCAGCGTGCTTCCCTCTATCCTCTTTCCCTCTCTCCTCTCTTCTCCATCTCTACCCAACGACATAACCCCCACCGACGGAAATACCCACTCGCTTCGCTCATCGTGGCTTCAACGCATCAGGTGCCCGCCCCACTCCGCTCGGCGCCCCCATCCCTCTCCGCGCCGCATCTGCCGCCACGCCGTGCCCACTCCTCCAGAACCTCGCCACGCCACGCCCACTCCTCCTCTAGAACCTTGTCGATGAGTCGGACGTCTTCGGCGACGCAGGGGACGACAACGACGACCTCCTCCGAGCGCTCCTCAATGTGGACCTCCCTGGCGGGGACCTCAACCTCGGCGTGTGGAAGCTCCTCGTGACACTCTCCTTCGCCGGCGTGCCCACGCTGCTCGGGTACCTCGTCGAAGCAGCAAGATAACATTGCGCAGCGCATGTTGCAAGCTTACGTTTTAAGTGTTTCAGATGTTTTATTTGGGTGTTACAAGTGTTTCATCTTGATGTTGCAAAAGTAAATCGTGATGTTGCACATGTTGCAATGGCTATACACGTCTGTTTCAAGTGTATGTTCCAAATGTTTCGTCTGTTTTTTTAGAAGCTCATTGCAAGTGTTTCAACTAGATGTCGTATATATGTTTCACACGTATGTTGCAACTATTTTATCTGGATATTGCATATGTTTCAATGGTTTTCAAGAGTTTTCATGTGCTTTTTGCAAGTGTTTTAGATGCTTGTTGCAAGTGTTTCAATTGTTTCGTACGAATGTTGTAAGTGTTTCAGCTGGATGTTTCAAAAGTAGATCGGGATGTTGCACATATTGCAAAGTGACTCACCTGTCACAACCGCCTGCTGCAGCTGCTTGGGCACCGTGCATGCTCGTGGGGGAGCGGAGGGATGGAGCGTTGCTTGACAACGGGTACGGGAAGCGGAGGGCGATGGTGGCAGGGGCACAGGCAGTCCTCGCGCGGCATGCGGTGCGGCAAGCGAAGGGGGCGTGGGCAGACAGAGTCATGAAGTGGGGGCACAATTTCCTAGGAGCAGCAGACACCGACGTCACAGAAACGGACTGCAGCCACGAGCATCCGTCCGGACGTCCGCGCTAGTAGGGATGATATATAAACGGATCACTCTTATTCGAAGTCTGGCCAAATTCATTCTTGAGTTCGGATTTACAGTTGGGCAAATTCTAGAGTCCTATAGAATTTGTGACCCCATCAAGGATTGCACACTTCTGATCGCCTAAAATTCGGATTTACAGTTGCAAGCATGCACTATTTTTCTTGTTCAGCAAGAGTTTTTGAGGTGGTTAGTCTGTACTCTGTAGCTGTGATGAGCTCGTGTGAGCCAAAGGCCAAATGATCCGATCGTCGCCCCATGCATGCCACGTATACCTCTTCCACCTTGTTAGGATTTATCTAGTATTTAACTGAAGCACAAACACACCTGTAGAACCTTCTGAACATATCCAAATGTCTTTTGCTCAGTCTACTCTTACAAATTCAACGTCCAATATAACCATTACTTACAGATGATAGCTATTTAGTAGCTCTCGGACCCTCGTACCTGTACCTTTGAAATCGCCAAACCAAATAATCCTAGCATATTTATATATGAACTTTACAATGGAGCAGACAAACCATTTACAGCCAACACCCCAGTAATTATTCATCCATCGGATTATCACTACCATCGTCAGGCAGCCTAATTTACTCGATGAAAATACTTCGTGAGTCCACCTGCGGACCGATTTATGCCTTGAACCGAACAACAATGCATGATATATCATCTTTACTCTCTCTTTTTTGCGCTTCGGCGGTTAATCGATTGGCAGCAGCATAGGGATCCTTGTACCTTTTGGCCAAATCGACCACCTCTTGATTGTTCATCACCTGGTACAGTCGATAAAAGGAAAAGTATTAAGAGTGCAGCCATGGATATGCTTCCGGTCGGCTATATCCTGGCCTTTTGGACAAATTTTGAAATAACATGCCACACCTTCCAAAGACCATCACTTGCAAGGACAAGTAGCTCGGCAGTGTGATCTATGTCTTCGACTTTTATATCAGGCTCTGATCTCAATAGTGATTTTAGATTCCTGTCTCCAAAAGCTCTGGAGACAGCCAACTGACCACATACTCGGGGAACATCTCCTGAAAGTTCAAGTGTTAGATTCAATATGCTGTCAACAGACAACTTCAGATAACATTGTTCTGCTTATTTTTAAGGCACATGGTTTTGTTTAATTGTTTATCTAGGAATAGAATATTAAGGGATAAGAATTGCAATCAGAGTTTCCAAAAGATTTACTAATCTGATCTCTCTGCAATTATGATTATATTGGAAACTATAACGTATGGTAGCTTGTCTTCCAGGTAAAACGAATATATGATTTCCACCAAAAGGTGATCATGGAAATGTGTGTGCAACTGTACACGCAGGAACAAATCTTGAAGTTAGCACACTGCAACAGGTATGTGTTTGGCAATTATCCTAAATATTTATGCTGTTACAGTAACCAATGAACTGATGCGCACAGAAGGTTAAGGGACCCAAAGCAACCTACTACCCATTCATACAATATAAGGTAATACCAACCCCATTGTGGCACAACAAAATCTTTTGAATTATTGCATAGAACAAGCACTGGAATTTACTAAGGGCTAAGGCTACTATACCATACCATACCATGAAGAGAACTTCTTCGATTACATCTCAAGTTAAGGGTCTGGTGCAATTTACGAGAGAGAAAAAAAAAACACATAGGGCTAGTAAATTATTGCCCTCCGAAAAGGTCAACAGTGAAGAATAATATAGGAACCTCTCAGCCCTTTGACATCATGTTTAGAAATCTGGAATAATATTTATGTTTTAAGAATAAATAGTAATGTGATTATACATTACTAAAGTAAGGAGTCATCTCTCAAGACTTATTTTTGAACCAAAGAGGAAGCACATACATTGACTACTGCCAGATTTCATATAAACTGCTCAAATATGGTAGTGATGGTTTGACTTCTAAAATTGCACTGCCCAAAATGACATAATAAGGTGTTGTAGCAATGCAATCATTAAGCCATTAGCAGCAGCTTTTTGCTATAAAATGTATGCTTTTATTAAATAAGATATGACTTGTCACGTGCAATTTATATCAAAACATACTTGGAACGGTCTCAATAATAGAGTATGACATGGTGTTGTCCGATAAACATTTTCATTTGACTAGCAATAAAGATTAAAATGAAGTAATTATGTTACTGAACTTGGCTAGTAAACACCTTTTATTTTTCCCACACCTAATAGCCGTTCAATAAGATTCCGTCAAAAAATGTTTCACTAAAGATTGTGTATTTGAGATGTTCAAATGCTCTGGAACAAGGACAATGAACCAAATATCGAAAAAGGCACCCCAGTCATTTAAATCAGGGTACCGTGCTTAAAGAGTAAAAAATTTGAGGACACACCTGGCATATTTGAAACAAAGCCACCCCTATTTTCAATTACACTTCGCTCAACATTCGGGTCATGGTCTATTGACATCTGTATGGGCTCACCACCTTTCAAAAGAACAGCTCTTGAATCACCAACATTAGCTACCCATAACTTCCTGCCGTTCACAAGAATGGCAGTTACAGCAGTGGAGCCACCTTGTCCCAAATCTGGAGTATGTGACAGAATAGCTTGGTCTGTTTTTTCATACGCTTTTGTAATCGCTCTATCTGTATGTGTCCAAAACTCTTCCTAAAATAGCATGACAAGATTATGATAACCACACAGCTAGCGAATTAATAGCTGTTGAAACAAAAGCTTAAACTTACCTCATTCAAAATATTTGTAAACAAATTCTTCTGTAAATACGCAGGAACGGTGTCTCCTAGATGACCGTCATAAATCGCAAAAAGACCAAGCTCGTTTCCCTTAACATCGACAAGATCGGCGAAATGGTAGTCCTCCATTGGATGATTCGTCATCCCTCTTACAAGGTTATATCCATAGCAGACCTTGACTTGCCCATGGCAGCCTTTCCCTTTACCAGATGCTGTTGACCCATGCCCCGTGAACTGCATACAAGCAGACCAATCAGCAAGAGCGATGATGTGGCTGAAGTGCTAACATGAGACAGACTGCAATTTGTAGAGTTCCTAGCTTACTCACGAGCTTCTTGAATAATGACGGTTCATGAACGTCTTATTTTTTTTAGAGTGCTTGCTGGTGGAGGGATAACGTTTAGTGAAACTCGTGTCACTAGACGCTAGCATCATTATGGTATTTCATGTCAACAAGTCAATATTAGTCACTAGTTGTTATTACTAGTACCACAGGAGCATACTACATATTACTTCAGCATAGTTTTTACTTCACTAAAGTTAAGCTATAATATGAAAGGGTAAAGAAAAAATTAATCCTTTCCAACAGAAACTTAAGCTTTATTTGATTTAAGCAGGAAAAGTCAGTATCTTGTTCTATCAGTGATTCAAACACAAAATTAATTAACAAAAGCTTCAATAATTTTCCATAGATGCTACTATATCTATGGCCCAAAAAAGCGACGCGGAAACCGATCAAAAGTGGGACTTACATCTGAGCAACCAGCGCCGAAGCAGCAGAACCTTGCCATATCTTAAGCCACTCTGAGTTCCAATCCAGGAACTGAAACTTTTTAGAAACAAAACAAAAGGAGGGGCGGAGAAATCTGGAAGTCCCCACAGCCACCGAGACCTCCGCTGGTACCAGGGGCGGACCTAGCATAGGACATGAGTGTACACGCGTACACCCGATAATTTTTGCAGAAACCCGGAATCAGTAGGTACCGGTTAGATCCGAATAATTACAGATAGCTTGTACTAGGGTTTGGCACTTTGGCTGCTCGGTTTCGTGCAGCAGGAACGGAGGGAAGAGAGAGGGGAGCGGGCGTACCTGGTGCGTGCTCCGTGCTCGGCGCCGGCGCCGGCGAAGGGCGGCGACGCCGCGAGTAGAGGAAGGTAGGAGAGGGGGAGAGAGGTGAACGGAGAGGGGGGAAGGGAGGGCAGGTGGGCTGAGGATTGCAGGTCTCCACTGGCGCAGCAGTCGTCGCCGCGTCGTCGGGTGGGGGGGTTGGAATGGGTCAACCGGGAGTTAGTGTTTGACCAACACTACGCAACAAATTAATTTCGGGTTTTGGGTGGTTGCCTTTTAAACCCTGACCCAATGCGGTCCTCCCAACCCAGATGACCCGGTGGGTGGCCGACTGGCCGTGGGTTTCCGTCCAGCGTTAAATCGGGCCCAATTCAGTGGATATCAAATGAGTGCCATTACATTTATTATTAAATATATTTTCACAATACATTTATTTAGTCCCATGAGTGTTAATGATATATTCTATAAACTTTTTTAAGGCATGAGATCATTTGACTTGGGACAAAGCAAGAGTGTCACTTTTTTTGTGGGATGGAGGTGGTATAATTCATGATGTATTGATGAGTCTTGTTTGATGTTTGTAGAGTTGTATTAATCTTTCTATAAATTTGGTCGAAACTAGAGAAATTTGACTTAGAAAAAAAAAAGCTAAAAACGACTTATAATTCAGAAGAGATGGAGTAGAAGTCTAAAAGACAAGCTATGTTGCCCTTTACAATATTTTTATGTTGGACTAATATGTCTTATGTTGGCTGCTAACCAAAGTATACACTTACACACGCTAGAGCCATGATACAACACAGTTAGACTTTGTCCGGCAAAGCTCTAGCTCCAGGAAATTCGTGGATTTCTTGAAGTTGGGTATTTGTAGCTCCGAGGTCCTATATTTAAGGTTGAAGACTTGTTGAAAGCTCTTGTATGATTCATTTTGTATATAGTTTATACTAGATATAAATATATAAAGCTCTTTAATTTTATCCAAAAACTACATATCTAACTTTGATATAGGAAACGGATGCCAAACAAACCCTTAGGTGATATTTTGATTAAGACCTATACTTGCGCCACATTGTTATTTGATGTTGTTAAAATTAGTCTTGCCACACTTTTATGGCATGAAAATTCATAATCTAGCCTTAGGAGAGGTGGGAAAGTGAATTGAGTGTATCGTGGATGAGTAAGAAATTAGATAGAATGGCAATAATGAAACACTAAAGAAACTATGACTAGTTATGACAACATTTTAGTCTTCGATTTAAACAAGAGACATGGCACGTAAGCTTCTCTCTCTCTCTTTTGACCCTAGGTCTATGTTTCATAGCATGTGTCGGGTTCATAAACCCGGGGTCCTCTCGCGGACCGGCTTTCCAACAAAGGCTCGGTTCAAGCAGACAACGCGCAACTCATGGGCCGGCCCAAGTATCGGAACAACAGTTAGAAGGGCGATCCAATCACCGACCGGAAGTCCTGGCCGAGGAGAAACGACGCCCGTTTTTCGATTCCGGCCCACCTCTCCGACCGGAGCACTCACTTCGATCTCCAGCCCGCCTATGAACGGCCTCTCCGACCGGAAGGCCTGGTCAAAAGCACTACTTATGACTCCGACCCCACGTCTCCAACCGGGGTACGCAAAAACCCTGCTCACTGCTCTTCTCCGACTAGCGCAACCAGAGCCGACTGGGACCAACCGATTGGGGACGCTCGCTCGGAAAGGACCAGGGAACGAAAGGAGAAAGCAAGGCAATGCGCACAAGTCAAACCACGATACCAGGGACCGTACCCTATACACTTGCAGAAATGGTACTCTGCAACCTCCCTGACACAACAGAGCCCAAACAGTATTGTAGGTGTCGACCTTTTCCCTACATTATTGTGGGCGCCGTTCACTCCCATACGGTAAGGCTCCCCTCACATGCCTTTGGGCATCAACAGTGTTATGGGCGCCAACATTTACCGTACTGAGTGAACATGGTGAAACTCCTCACATGCCTCTGGGCATCAACAGTATAGCAGGTACCAACGTCTGCCATACCCGAATAAGACGACGCAACCCCCCATGTGCATCTGACATCCAACAGTGTTGTGGGCGCCTACCATCATCCTGTACCCGCCGATGTGGGCAACAAGGTTTAGAAGCATACGTACTCTCTCCCTCTCACTTGTAAGGCCATCCCCTTTATCTATAAAAGGGATGCGCTCTCTCCCAACATGCAGGTTTATTCAAGTGATTTCAGATTCATTAGATCGATTAGGTTCACTAGTTCACAACCACAAAACCGCTAGGTTTGAACCTCAAGCACACGCTTGAACACTTAGCTCATAGCGGAGCTCCTGTCGCTCTCGGCCCTTCCGCCCAGAGTCCGACCGGACCTCTCGTACACCCCATCTTTCTTCTTCTCGTTTGTAACCCCACTACAAACTTCGAGCACCTGGGCTTAGGAATAAATTCATCGACCGACTCAAATTGGACATAGGGCACGTTGTCTGAACCAGTATAAACCTTGTGTCATTGAGTGCCAGGCCACCTCCGATCACAACATATAGCAAAATTATAAATATTTACTTGTTGGTCACTTTCTGCATCGACAGTTGGCGCCGTCCATGGGGAAGACGTTGTACGTTCAACACTTTTTGGTCATCGTATGGCCCACTTTTCTGCCACCTTCGCCATGGCGGGCTCAGGCGATACGACTCGCTTCGGCTTACTCGAGTTTCCCGCTCTCCCACCGGTTGGGATGTGGGTTCCACCCGTCTTCGAGCCATCCCAGGCCTTTCTCTTTGGAAGCCTGGACTTCATCGCCGACCGGCTCGACGTACTACACCTCCGTGAGGAGACTCTCATTCTGGCACCCATCGGAGGGGTGCCCTCCATCGGCTCCAGGACGCACGATGACTTCAACGACGAGGCATCTGCGCTTCATTCCGAGCAAACTCTCTACTCAAACCCTGCTATGAGTAATATGCATACTGTAATTTGCTCTCTATTTACTATCCCCCGCCGATTATCTGGAGGGACCGTATTGACCGCATCATGGACACCGTACGATTGGCTCCCCTATGGCCTCGCGTCCCCCGTGGACGCGTGCGCTTGGGGGCTCCAAGGGACGCTGCCGCTATCCCCCTCATATCCAAATTCATGGGAATGATGAGCTCTGCTCCTACCACTTTCCATAAACTCCCAGATGATGAGGGTGAGAGCGATGGCTCCAGCATTGGCGACGTGGCACCTAGCCACCGTCCGTCCTGGGAGTGCGTTATGATGGACGCTCCGAGACAGCCGCCTGTCGTTGCGGAGTCTGCGCAAACTCACACCCCTCTGGACCCGTGTACGGGGGGCCTCGCGTTTGTGCAAGGGTACACCGAGGAACTACGACAACGATGGCAGAACCCGGCCGCGACTGCTCGGCGCAACTAACCAAGCCTCGGTGCGGTGGAGCGTCTTCAGACGACGTTGCGCCCTATCGCGATAACCCGGAAGAACGAAAAGGATTAGCGCAACGGTCGCGCCGCCATGTCCAACACGACATCATGAATGAGGGAACGATCTCCCACAGGTTCGCTCGAAGGCTAGCGAACATCGCCGCCGCAGCAGAATGCTTCTTGGCGGATCCGACGGCATTCCCGAGCCTATAGGGAGGCATGTCGACCATCCCCTCCTGGCGGGCGGTCTCACGGAACCTCCGGATTCTAGTAGAAGTCGCCGCATCGCCCGTTCAACAAGCGTTGAAAAGCTCCGCGATCGTGACTCCCTCGACGCGCCTCTCTCCCCTCCCAGGGGGCGGGGTGATCGCATGCGCCAGACGGATCGCTCATCCGCCACCTTTCCAGGTCCGCTGCGCCACCTACCTCAAGCTAAAGATCACGGGACCATCACCATGTGCGGCTCAGAGGCAAGCACTATGAGCTTGCGCCTCGGTTCGACTCCCACGGCGCCCGCAGCTACAACAAACCAACCTCCGACCTTCCGTTCCTCGAGGAAACCGATACATCGAGCGGCCCGATCCACACCAGGACGCTCGCTAAATAGGAATGCGGCGTCGACTTCCTACGAACCAATCAACTTCGCCGCCCATGCGGCATGATGATGATGTCCACCGGGCGCCCACCGATTAAGGCGGTGAGAGCGGTGAAGAGAAGACACGGATCTCGGCGAACCATCGAGGGGAGCGGTGGAAATGTGCGCGCCAGCGGATCATTTTCTTTGCATAGACCGGATAGTCGCCGGCCGATCCTCTCCTTTCTCGGATGACCGGAGTCCTAGCCCTGAGGGCCCGGGACCATGGGCCTTTGACCGGTGTATCCGGAGAGCGCCGTTCCCATAGCGCTTCCGACCGCCCACCAACATCACCAAGTATACCGAGGAGACAAACCCTGGTATCCCGGCTAAATAGGAATGCGAGCTCATCGACTTCCTACGCGCCAATCGCGATGTCTTCGCATGGCAGCCTTCTGACATGCCTGGCGTACCGCGGGAGGTCACCGAGCACGCACTGCGCCTCATCCTGGGCTCAAAGCCCACCAAGCAGTGTCTGCGTCATTTCGACGACGAGAGGCATAGGGCCATAGGCGAAGAGATCGCCAAACTCCTGGCAGCCGGATTCATCAGAGAGGTATTCCACTCCGACTGGCTTGCCAATCCCGTTCTTGTTAAAAAGAAGATCGAGAAGTGAAGAATGTGCGTTGATTATACTGGCCTCAACAAAGCGTGTTCAACGAATCATT